TTCTTCTTCTGTTCTTTTCTTTTCCTTTTTTTCCCCTTCTTCTTCTTCTTCTTCTTCTTCTTCTTCTTCTTTCTTTTCCTCTTTCCAAGATGATACATGTGATTTAAGTTGATAAAATAATGCCTTTGTTATGCTAAAAGATCTCAGGAACCATTTATAGAATGTTTATTCAAGGTAGACTAATGAGAGGAGATATAAACTATAGATTTACGTATGATCTTGCGATAAAAGAAAATTTAAAGGCCTAACAGCTTGTATGACGAGGAGAATTGATTTTGACCTCTTTTTGTGCGTGTGTGTGTGTGTGTTATTAAGGAAATTGAAAGAGGTGGTTGACAATGATAAGATATTTAGCCATATTGTGAAGTTTGATTTAAACTATTTGCTGTTAGAATATGTGCTATACAAAGTTGAAGGCAGAGAAGTTAGTAGCCACTGTGTATATTAGAGGAACTATTTTATAATAATTCTAGGAATAGCCTAGAAGATTGCAGTAGGTAAAGGGGAAATTAAAAAAGGTATTCTTTGGGTTATTATTTTTATTATTATTTATTTAACTTATTTTTTTTTCTACAGCTTTGTTCAGGAGAGCATGTAGGAGCTTTGGCAATGTCTGAACCAGGGTCAGGGAGTGACGTTGTGTCCATGAAGCTTAAGGCCGAGAAGAAGGGTGACTACTATGTACTGAACGGCAACAAGTTCTGGATCACCAATGGGCCTGATGCTGATGTCCTTGTGGTCAGTGCTGTTTGTTGTTGTATTGTCAAATTTCTGTGTGTGAAATGAATATTGTTTTTTTCTTCTTCATCTTTCTTACTTTCTTTCTTTCTTCGATGAATATTTATAGCGTTTGTGGATCGATTCTCTTGAGACGGGGATGTGTATTCGAGACCTAAATGGATTGAGAAAAAAAAAAACAAGAATCTGTACTTTTGCACTATGTTCTAAGAAGCCATTTCATTGAGGGCCTTTACACTACCCACTCCCACAGGTCTATGCCAAAACCAACCCCACTGCCGCTAAGGCCCAGCATGGCGTCTCTGCATTCCTGGTCGAGAAGGGCATGGAGGGATTTAGCACTGCCCAAAAGCTAGACAAGCTGGGCATGCGAGGTTCCAACACGTGCGAGCTGATATTCGAAGACTGCAAAGTGCCCGGTAGGTGACTTTACGTGAGCGTTGTGTGGTAGGAGAGATATCTGCAGAGATTTATTTGGAACTTTATTTAATCTCATATTTTAATTATTTTGATTATAGCTCTCAAAAGGTGCAGAATATGGAACTAAATACAGGCATTATTACATTATGTCAAAAAAGTATAGGAATTGGGGAGGAAGTACTGACAAGAATGAAACTTTGCTGCAAAAAGAAAAACAAAAATGTATGACTAATATATATATATATATATATATATATATATATATATATATATATATATATATATATATATATATATATATATATATATATAATATATATATTATATATATATATATATATATAATATATATAATATATATAATATATATAATATATATAATATATATAATATATAATATATAATATATTATATATATTAACTTTTGTATTGAGCCTGGGGATCCATAGGATAGAAACCAGTCTGCCATGTTTCTTCAAATAGTGTTATTCATTGAATGTTGCTGACATTTCACTTTAAACTTTATACATCTATTGATACCAGTTATTTATATTGTGAGTTGCACTATTCTGTAAATATTGTAGATATTTCCTTTCTTTTTTATTATTTAACCCATTGCCAATGGGGATAGCATGTACGTACATGCCATGCCCACTGTGAGTCGACTTGTTTGATTGTTTTTACACATAGATAGCTACACTTGTACTAAGTCACCAGTGAGCCAATTACGAGTACTGCCAGTCTCGCCTGTTCACCCTTTTCATCGATTTACGAAAATATTTAATGTTATCCTAATTTGCTGTTAAAAATAACACCATCTATATTTATAGCACTAGTAAGAATACGTTTTTGCCTGCCAATTCAGGGAAAGGTGAAATCAGGACTAGCAGAGCCATCTATGTACAGAGATATTTCACAAAAATATAAAAAATGAGTACAGCATTTTCCCCATTTTTTATTCATTTTCCTCAGCGGCAATGGGTTAATATAAATTTTAAAGTCTAATCTTTTTTTAAACCAGGAACATTCTTTCAACAATCATTTAAGTTATGGCAGTGGTTTTGTGAGCCACTGCTCTAGTCTTAGTAAGTGTTATGAATATTATACCTTTTGTACTAATGACTGCAATCATCTTGATACAGAGAAGAACATGCTTGGCAAGAGGGACGGCGGCATCTACGTCCTGTTTTCTGGGCTTGACCTGGAGAGATTAGTGCTTGCAGCTGGACCTGTAGGGTAAGCACATTCAAAATGTTCACCTCTCAAGTACTGTGATTGTCGTTGTTGCACCTCTCAAGGACTGTGATTGTTATTGTTGCAGTAAACAGGAGTTTCCCCTTTTTCTAATTATGCCAGTCAAGTAATTGCAGAATCGGTTCTAGGTGACCTACCATTTCGAGAATTAGTTCTGGCTTTGAGGGGTTTGTTTATCCTGGGTGACTTCTGTTTGACTTTACAAACTGTTTCTCCTCCTTTGGGTGTATTTGTGATGAATAACCATGGGATTCATTATGAACCTTGATGTCTTTTTTGGGTAGTTTCTCCTGGTGAAGTTGTTAAGTAGGATGTTATATATGTGGATTAATACATCAGTCATTTGATTGTGTTACAGTACAAACCACAAATTGAAAATGTATTGAATATTGTTTTTTCTTCTTCATCTTTCTTACTTTCTTTCTTTCTTCGATGAATATTTATAGCGTTTGTGGATCGATTCTCTTGAGACGGGGATGTGTATTCGAGACCTAAATGGATTGAGAAAAAAAAAACAAGAATCTGTACTTTTGCACTATGTTCTAAGAAGCCATTTCATTGAGGGCCTTTACACTACCCACTCCCACAGGTCTATGCCAAAACCAACCCCACTGCCGCTAAGGCCCAGCATGGCGTCTCTGCATTCCTGGTCGAGAAGGGCATGGAGGGATTTAGCACTGCCCAAAAGCTAGACAAGCTGGGCATGCGAGGTTCCAACACGTGCGAGCTGATATTCGAAGACTGCAAAGTGCCCGGTAGGTGACTTTACGTGAGCGTTGTGTGGTAGGAGAGATATCTGCAGAGATTTATTTGGAACTTTATTTAATCTCATATTTTAATTATTTTGATTATAGCTCTCAAAAGGTGCAGAATATGGAACTAAATACAGGCATTATTACATTATGTCAAAAAAAGTATAGGAATTGGGGAGGAAGTACTGACAAGAATGAAACTTTGCTGCAAAAAGAAAAACAAAAATGTATGACTAATATATATATATATAGATATATATATATATAGATATATATATATATATCTATATATATATATATTATATATATATATAATATATATAATATATTATATATATTAACTTTTGTATTGAGCCTGGGGATCCATAGGATAGAAACCAGTCTGCCATGTTTCTTCAAATAGTGTTATTCATTGAATGTTGCTGACATTTCACTTTAAACTTTATACATCTATTGATACCAGTTATTTATATTGTGAGTTGCACTATTCTGTAAATATTGTAGATATTTCCTTTCTTTTTTATTATTTAACCCATTGCCAATGGGGATAGCATGTACGGACATGCCATGCTCACTGTGAGTCGACTTGTTTGATTGTTTTTACACATAGATAGCTACACTTGTACTAAGTCACCAGTGAGCCAATTAAAAGTACTGCCAGTCTCGCCTGTTCACCCTTTTCATCGATTTATGAAAATATTTAATGCTATCCTAATTTGCTGTTAAAAATAACACCATCTATATTTATAGCACTAGTAAGAATACGTTTTTGCCTGCCAATTCAGGGAAAGGTGAAATCAGGACTAGCAGAGCCATCTATGTACAGAGATATTTCACAAAAATATAAAAAATGAGTACAGCATTTTCCCCATTTTTTATTCATTTTCCTCGGCGGCAATGGGTTAATATAAATTTTAAAGTATTTATTTATTTTTCAACCACAACATTCTTCATTTCTTGAAATGCATAAATCGAATATTGGTCTTCTGATACAGGTTGATGCAGGCTGCATGTGATGTTGCCTTTGAGTATGTGCACGTTAGGAAGCAGTTCAACACAAGGATCGGTGAATTCCAACTGATGCAGGTTTGTTTCTTTAGTATTTTATGCTTGGTCTTTGGATTTGTGGATATTCTTATATTCCTTACGTGCATTGATGCATTTCACTTCCCTTTCATACATGTTGAATATACTTCCTAGCTGGTATATCTCTGCATGCATCCATACATTCTTACACTAACTCTCACACATATACCAGACACATACACATGTACACCCTGCCTGCACACACACATAGGTCCTCTTTTGCTTTATTTTTCCTTCTTTATTATTATTATTAGCTTTACAAGTATCTCATTAAAAAAAAGAGAGAAAGAAAAAGAATCTTAAGCATAATGCTTACGCTAAAACTTTCTCATTTTTTCAGGGCAAGATCGCAGACATGTACTGTGATCTGAATGCCTGCCGCTCTTACCTCTATGCAGTGGCCCGAGCATGCGACAAGGGCCACTTCAGCAACAAGGACTGCGCTGGTGTCATCCTCTACTGTGCGGAGAAGGCCACTCAGGTCTGCTTGCAAGCTATTCAGTGTCTAGGTGAGTCTTGCAAGGGTTTTTTTGCAGAATGAAAAGTAAAGTAATGAATGTTATTAATAGAGGCACATGGTGTATGATATAAAAGAAGATGAACAAAGGATATGACTTGAGGAATCTAATTCAAGGGATTAATTTTCAAAGGACATAATTGAGAGCACAAGATAATTAATTCTAAAAGAAACTAATTATCTTGGATTTCAATTTCAGATACCTTTGAATTGCTAGTGTTTGGTTTCTTTATTGTATTTAAATTGATTTGCCGCTCTGTATTTCCAGGTGGCAATGGTTACATCAATGACTATGCAACTGGAAGACTTCTGAGGGATGCGAAACTGTATGAAATTGGTGCGGGAACGAGCGAGGTGCGACGCCTCGTGATTGGTCGCGCTCTCAACTTCGAGTACAAATAGGCTTGACTGATGCAGATTTATTTTTTCCTTTTGCAGTGAAGATGAAAGAAATGGAAAAACAGAGAGGGCCATTTGTATTTAGAACAATTATTGTGATATTAATATTTTTGAACTTTATTTCATAAATATATATATTTTTTGTTTGATGCAACACAATTGTCTCAGCTGATTGTCTTTGTACCTGATTCCAGCCCCTTTATATAAAAACTCAGACAGTTAACAAGACAAGACTCATTGTAGGGTCCACAACCTTTAAAAAAACAGGCATTGTAGCATGCATTGTAAAATTGTTTTCCTTCTTGTTCCAATTAATTTTATTGTGCCATATAGAAAAGGAACAATATCAATATTTTATTAAACAACAAAACTACACATAATTTCTTCAGTTGTACAAAGTAATTGTTCAGTGCATGGTATCCTCTTTAAACTGTTAAACTGATTCTCCAAGGTAAGAAAAAGTTCCCTCTGATTAGAATCTTCAGTCAAAATGTTTCAAATTTGTTTCCCAACCCAGATTCTTTACAGGATAGTATGGCTTTCTGTCACTCCTTGCTCAATAACACATACTCTGCCACTTCAGAACACTGAGTTCATGACATTTTTAGTGTATATTTTACTGATTAGAACATAATTGGTATTTAATAGAATATGTGCAAATAGTGGGGTAACTCTGCTGTTTTGTCTGGAGAAGGGCAAAGCTATCAAGATTGATATATCAAATAGAATTCTGACATTTTTATGTATAATGGAATTGGCCATATATGGCACTTAATTATTTTGATCATGTATTCGGTCAACTAGAGAAAAATGTCAATTTTCAATTATTCTCTGTGCAGCTTAATCAAATATTTATTTTTTAAGCATTATTATTATTATGTAGGATAGAAAAGTTATGAATGAGAATTAATATCTTCACAATATGTATTTAACCAGTTTTGAATATATTTCTGATAAAGATGTATCCAAAACCAATTCAATTCATTGCTTGTATTGTGAAGATATTCTTACTTATTATTCATACCTTTTCTACACATGTCAACATGAAGATGGTTCATTATTATTATTATTATTACTACAAATTAGCCAAGGTTGTATATATGTGATTTGGTGCCAGCAAAGGATTCAGAAACCAACAAGTGAAGTTTACTATACTACTTAATGGGTTGTAAGCTTCATCTATAGGTGGGATTATGTACACTTATCAAAATTTGCCAAATAAAATGTTATGGTAAATTTTCTGTAAGTTAGAATCATAATATCAGAATCAGTTGGCGATGCTAGGTCATATGTAACATTATTAGACATGGGGTCTGAGACTGTGGTTGATAAATTTCACTGAATTTTTGGTGTAAAATTACTGCTCACTGGGTTGTTAGCAAATTTGAAGAGTGAAATTGTTAGTTACTAAAGAAAAAAAAAATACTTAAATTAAACAAAATAATAGCTGAGAATTCTTCCAATGGTGTTTTCATATGAGATTATATTCATGTCTATTATGTTTCGATGTGTGGCAACTAACTAATATTAGCAGTAGTTGATTTGGAAACATTTTTATGTATTCATATTTTTTACTCACAAACCTCGTTTCTAGCTCTTGTTGTAAATCACTCAATTGTAGATATGTTTCAGTTCTGGGTGACTTTTTCATACTGCATTCACTTTTTGAGAATGATCAGCTTTTTTAAGCAGTTTTATTAACAGCACAATATTCAGTGGATCAGAATCATTATTATACATAATGTATATAAACAAAAACTTTTAGACATTCACAGCTTCCACTGTTCAGGGATAATATAATGAATTAATATGTGCATTTACACTGCCCAATGTTTAGGAAAAACAAGTATGGTTTTATTTGATAATGTGGTTGCTTTGGCATTATGAACTATGGCCATCTGTCAGATATTAATTTTTTTTGTATTTTAATTTAAATATAAATTTTATGAACTGATGTGTGAATGTACATTAAATAAGTGAAGCAGTAATTTACAGTGATATGACCAAAGGATTGGAGAACGTGTCCTTACCATGTTAGTATGTGTTACTTTACACAAGAAATAGTAGGGTTTGGTTCTGTTATGTGTTCATGTAGAAATGTAGAGTCAAGGTGGTGATATTTACAAATTATTGGATTTAGTTTTGTAGTAAAATATGAATGAATATAGACTTTCATTGACCTATTAATCTAAGTTGAATGAATTAGTCTTAAGAAAATATGTAACAGAAAACAATAGAATTCATAGTATAAGTTACCTTTGTTGACTTTTGGGGGTTGTTTTGCCTGTGAATACATTCTCCCTCTCCCTCGAGTCTTGATGTTCAGGGGCCTTTCAATTTTGCATTAGCCATAATCTCATCTCGAGCATCCTACATCAGTTTGCAAGATTAAATCACAGGCATGAGAACACATTGCACTTATGCAGCTGGAGGGCCTCCTTCTCTTGTTGACATTTATTCTGATAGTCAAGAAGAAATTGCATGGTGGCCCTCAGGCACTTGTCTATAGAAGCTGGACAGCACACTCCAGATAGCTGAATGAACGTCACACAGAGACTCACTCTTGTCACTTAGCTTGTTTTGCTCTCCGAATATCAAGTTCCCTTTCTATTAGTTCTTAAATTTTGCTAACTTTTGCATCCAATACACTTCCTGCCTTTCTTTTCCTATTCTGTTTCCAACTTTCTTATCTTTTGCAAGTTGGTGTGGTTGAAATCACTGGATGTGGTGATGGTGAAGGTGATTCTATGAGCACCTTGACTTTATCAAGAACACGAGACTTATTACTTATGTAAATAGTTCAAAATGATAACAATACTTTCAAGAAGCAAATGATAACAATACTTTCAAGAAGCAAATGATAACAATACTTTCAAGAAGCACAAATACCAATCAGACCTATATTTGTACAGCTTCAACTATTTCTATTACAGTTGCTGTCACTGATTACATCTATTATGGTCATACTAACAAAACATAATAACCAAATTACATGAAATACCTGGAGGGAGGTCCTTCATCTGACATCACATATGGTAACAATCCCTCTTCAGAAGTATTTTTTCTTACTAAGTGACTATATATAATGCGAAATCTACTGAGGCGTTTTACGAGAGCTCCGTTCCGTGAGTTTCTCGCTGTGCCCACGGCCGAGTTGAGGGCACGACCGACATGGGGAAAAAAGCCCAATGCCTAGTCTGTCAAACGCTCTCTTCTGCCATGAATACGTGGAGGATTCTTTGCTTCCCTGGGCGATGGTCGCAGGGGGATACAGCTCCATGCATTAGACAATATAATGACTGATTCAGTACTGGGGTTACCGTCCCAGATGCAGGGGAATTATATAACCTTTTCGATGAGTGATATTATGCTTCTCTTTGCCCCATAGTACAGTGCTGTCCATATTAATTTTGAGGTGTTTTTGTGTTGATAAACATGGGCAATCTTCGAGGAACATGGAAGATGCTGATGTAAACAATGTCCGTGTAAAAATAATAAACGCTTAAAAATACACAATTCAATATTTGTTTTTAAAATCATATTAATTGAAATAGATGATAATTTGTTGTGCAATGATTTTATTTTTCTTAGCAGACTATAGACCAGCAGGGTTCCTCAACTGGCGGCCCGAGTGTTGTAGCGGGACCCCAGGCGAGAAAAGGGAAGAAACGTATAATTAAATAAAATGAAGGTCCTGGCGATGGATTCTTGAAAGTATATTTCCTCGATAGACTATAGGGTAAGTTAGGGGACATAAGGAAACACTATGGAGTCCTCAAATTGGTGGTTTTATTTTTATGATTGTATGTTAAATATTTATCCGGGCCTCTGCATATATTGGGGAAAAATGTATATAACAAGTCATATATGAGACGTCATAAAACCAATGTTAAAAATATGAGTAATAATAATGTATATTATTCTTTTATTTTTTGCTTGAAGATGATTGCTAGTTCGTATTATTATTTTCTCTTTGTGAGTTATTCAGGAAAATTCATCATAGTTCATTTCATTTACAACAGTTGGTTGAATCTTTAAAAATATAACTCGGGGAGACAGTTGCTGGGCCATTCATGGTGTTGGTGACCGTTGGAGGCGTACAATAAGACAGCAATGGCATTCCATTGGTTGTTACGTCTAGCAGGCTAACTACTGAATGATCAATCGACTACCGATCTGCCCTTTTATGATAGTCAATGAAATTAACCTACAATGTAAACATGGGCCTTGCAATGTGCTTTCTACATTGTGTTTATTAATTTATTATATATATATATTTTTTTTTTTTTTCTGAGTATGGATGGTTTACAATGTAGTAAGGAGATCGGCAGGTACGATGTAGTAAGGCGGTTACAACGTCCTCGACCTTGTAACGGAAGGGTAGTTTTGAGGATCCCGGACCTGGTCTTTTGCTCATAATAGACTTTTGTCATGCCAATTCGCCGATTTGTAACAATACATACCGTCCGCTTCTACATCTCGGAAGTTGAGAATAGTGAAAAAGTTGAAGTTTCCGTCGACTTATAGGTGAAAGAACATGTGACCGCCCCTTTACTCGTACTTACGGGCAAGGTCTATATACTTATGCAGACCTTGCTTACGGGAGTATATACCGTGCGAATGAATTGATTAAGTATAGTCTGTGAGAGTCAGGATTCCTGCAAATCTCGCATATTCTGTTATGAAATTTTAAATCGGTCTTGAGAAGAACGTTTGTATGGTCAAATAAAATGAACACATGAATGTAAGAATATTTGTAGGGCAAATGAAAACACAAAAAAACACGTAAAACATACATTAGACATACACGAGCTTCGGGCCTTGGCTACAAATACAAGCAAATCTGATTGGATACATACATACCAAGCAATAGTTAAATAAATACATAAATAAGATAAGAGTTTATGTTACTGAGAGCGACGAACAGAGGAAGAGAGAAATGGACCAATAGAGCATGAGAAACGGACTAATAAACATTACAGGTTCTTAATGTCGCATTTTTTTTTTTTTATCAGTTGACATAAAGCGCTAATAAAGGGGGATAAACAGAAGGTAAGAAAGGTTCGATTTGGATTTTGAGTTCGAATGAATGGTTTTGAATCTTTCTCTACAGGGTGCGTCGCTCTTGGTAACAAATGCCTAGTGTCTGTCTGAAATGCATTACACAGTAGCATTGCTCGGTCATTTATATTCGAAAACTTATTTCAAACTACATCCCTATGCGTACAGCCTGTATTAAATTCCATACAGGTGGGCCTTTTATTCTTCTCTGTCTTTAAAACGCTACTGAAAGAATACATCATTACCTTTCAAAACAAACAAATCATTACCATCAAATTCTTGTTTTTCTTCCCCCCCCCCAAAAAAAAAAAAAAAAATAATAATAATGATAATAAATAAATAAATAAAATAAATAAAAATAAATAATAATTACCATACAATTATTTTTTGTTCTTTTCCCTTCCTTTAAGACTTAGCGCGACCCTGACAAAGGTCTTGTACAGTAGCCTCAAGGACACCCCCATATCCCCGCCTTGGGGTATCCTGCCAACTTATGACGTCACCTCCATGCTCGGGCACGCACTTGCTCGCGACCAATTCCACTGCCAGGCGATTCAACCAAGAGTCTGGTTGCTGAGGGGGGGAAAAAGGAAATTATAGAAATTCATAGGGGTTTCGGATAAAATGGTGGGTGACTGAGATATATGAGTAACTATTTCTGTTTGTTATGGATTTTGCATCAATTTGTGGTAGACTTATGTATCTTTGGCAGAGCTTGGTATCGTGAGTGTTTTTTTTGTTATTTGAGGGTTTGTTCGTATGCCCCAGATAAACTATTATCTCTCCCCTAATAGATCCTAAACAAACAAATATCTTTCAAGACCGAGTCACTGCATAAATACATTCTCTATTAGTTAAAAAAAAAGTAACAAATTCCATCACAATGAACTTCCACTCACTAATCACTCACCTCGATTGCACTTGTATCCAGGAACAGCAGCGTGACCCAAACACTGATACCTGCCCTAGCATTTTCTTCCTGATTAGCCAGGTCGTTCTTGCGGTCGTGTTGGGTCGTGGCGAGGTCGTAGCCTGAAAAAGCTCGACCTCCGCCTCTCACCAGCATCCCTTGAGACTACGGAGAGGGAGAGAGGGAGAGAGAGAGAGAGAGAGAGAGAGAGAGAGAGAGAGAGAGAGAGAGAGAGAGAGAGAGAGAGAGAGAGAGAGAGAGAGAGAGAGAGAATGAATAAGGGTTCAGAGGAGGTTCAATGGGAAGAAAAAATAAAGGAGAGAGAAGAAAAAGAGAGAAAGAGAGGGGGTCGGGGTGGGAGGAGAAGGGAATGCAAAATAATGATTAGCTTCCATACCATCTCTCCATCAAAGATATAAACAGACAATAGCCTACACACACACACTCTCCCCAAAAGAACAAATTACAAAGCCTTAAATTCACACTGCCAATCTCAAACCACTCTCTAACAACCCGCAAAAAGATCCTTCTAGACTTACCAACAGCTGTTTGCCACTTCACCCCATGTTCCCGTGGCACCGTGCCATGAAACCAAGATGTGGTGCCATTCTCCGGCATTTATTCCTTGGTGAACTTCCGCGGTGAAAATAGCCATATCGTTGACTTGCAGTGAGAGAAACTGTGACTTTGATTTTTCCGTTAACGAGGCTGTTACGTGTGTCTTGCTTGCATCGTTTGCTGCCGGTTGAAGAGGTTATAGTGGGTTAAAGGTTAATTTTGGATACGTTGAGGTTTTGGTTTTATATGTTGCAAGGATGGGCGAGTTAGATCTTGATTTATGTGTTGCAAAGAGGGGTGAGTTTGATGTTGATTTATATGTTGCAAAAATAGGTGAGTTTGATATAGATTTATATGTTGCAAAGATGGATGAGTTTGATCTTGATTTATGTGTTGCACAGATGGGTGAGTTAGATCTTGATTTTGGAAAGAAATGAGCAATTTGCATGAAGTTGCATGAATTTAATTAATGATGCATTATAAAAAGAATGGAGATATAAATAGTGATAGTAATAAAGATAATATGGATGATAATGGTGATGATGATAATAATTATGATACTGAGAACGAGGTGGATAATAATAACAATAACAATAATAATAATAATAATAATAATGATAATGATAATAACAACAACAATAATAATGATGATGATGATGATGATGATGATGATGATGATGATGATGATGATGATGATGATGATGATGATGATGATGATAATAATAATAATAATAAATGACGTAGATAACAGCAACATTTCACCATTGTTACAATCTATATCAAAGACCTTGACATCTCTAATTCG